TATGTACATAGATGAGAATTATATAAATTCTGTACATAAGATTTGAAAAAAGAGTAGCTCAATTCGATAAGCGATAAGCTTGTGTGGCAGCCCTTGTTTTATTGCATACTCAAACCGACTAGGGATGGAAGCTAATTCACAGTAACATAAATTTAAAATAATGAAATAAACCATGAATTTAAGTTTATACCGCATGCTGATATACTCATCTTATGTATATCGTATAAGTACACAAATAGAAAATATATAATATCATAGGAATAATTTGAGAAAGTAATCAAAATCGAGTGAAATGTGAGCTAGTTCAGGCAAATATTTTAATCGGAAGCCGGGCAAACATTCAGCCCTGTTTCATTCCATTGTGAATTTGCATCGGTGAGAACGTATGTAATCATATGTTTATATAGTTGTTTGTGCAATTGTATGTTAATATGCATTGTCGGTATTTGATCTGACAAACTGTTTAATTGCAGAGAAGCTTACGTTCAGATATAAATACAAAGGATGGCCAACAAATCGCAGATACCGCTACCATCCGAAGATCTCGACTGGATACAGTTACGTCAGGACTTGGGACCCGTTGTTGAAGTTGAAACCACAAAGGAACGATTTGTGCGCAAAGTCAAGGAAAACCCACTGGTGCCCATTGGTATGCAATAATTACATACGCTACACTTGCCACAGAGTGTTATATAAACATTGCCAATTTCATAGGCTGCCTGGCGACCACAGCCGCTCTGACCGCTGGCCTCTACAACTTTCGCACCGGCAATCGCAAAATGTCGCAGTTTATGATGCGCACTCGTATCGCCGCCCAAGGATTCACAGTCCTGGCCCTGATCGTGGGCGTTGTGATGACCTATGGCGAGAAGAAATAATTATGATATTGCCCCGCTAGTTACTTACTTTTAAAATGTACATATGTACGTATAAGTAGTATAAATTAAACGATTATACTAGAATTCACATACACGCATACATACATCTGTAGCTATAATTGATAATAAGGCATAGTAGAGTGCAGTTATGTTCGTATGTATTGGTCTGGTTCTAATTAGAATAAAATGTGCAATGTTGTCCAATTAGATGTGATTTGGTCAGATTTGGCGTTTCTATGGAATATTTTGACCGGCGTTGCGCGGCTTATATGTGTAAGCTGTATTTTTTTTTTTTTTTTGCATACTTATGTGACTTGTAAATATTATTAACTACAGCTGCATTTTACCATATATTTCTCTTTGTTAAAAATATTTGTATTATTTGTTTTACAGATTTACGTTTTTAGCACGCAAAATGTTATATTTTTTTGGGTAGTTGAATAATTGAATACATCGAGAGCGTGTGTATTGGCTGGGTGTGGCTAAGGCGTGATGCAGGGGTTATTTGTTACCCACTTTCGATTGGGAGATGTGCGCGCGCATCGAGGCTCTCGGAACATTTGAAAATGCCAATTGTTTTCCGTAGTTAGTTCAAGGTAAGATTTCAACGGTAAAGGACGTTTATTGGATTAAGGTTGGTCAAAGTTGCAATAAATGTTGTTTTTACAAGTGAAATAGTGTTAAATGGCCAGCAGCTTATATAGAAATACATATGGCAAGTTCAAAAGAGACTATTGAATATTCAAAGATTTGTTGATAATGAAAAGTAATTTCATTATGCTGGAATTTGGGTCGCAAAACAGATATATACATATATATATGTAGGTATATAACAGATATAGGTATATATACAATATCTGTTATATGTATACATATCAATTAATATAAAATTAATTGAAATGAAATTTCTCCTCTGGGCAAGGTAAACATTTTTGGTGGGTAAATTATTTTCTAATAAGAAATCAACCCTAACGGTTTGTTATGGCCGTTTTGTATATGTGTGCAAGTATGTGCACGTACACATACAAACAGGCATATACATAGGCATTTGCGTAAAGCTTGTCTGGCATCCCAGGCATACATACATACATACATACACATGTATGTACGTACATACATGAATGCGAATGTTTATTATTTACATGCATACATACATATCTATATATTTTAGGCAAACATGAACATATTACTTGGCAATTGTGTGGGCAGCTGTGATCAATTGGCCGGCCCGCCGCCCGATTTCATATTATCGATGCCACCGCCGCCGTTGCCATCGTTCCTGATCTCGAAACCAAAGAGCATTGATATATTATTGCCAGCGAACGAGTCGCAGCCCTGCTTTGCGGCATTCATGTGCGGCCAGAATCAACACAATGAGAGCGGCAATGAGCTGATGGAGCTGGTGCGCAGCGATACGAAGAGTATGGAAAATGTTTGGTTTTTCGTCTCCTCCTGCATTGGCATCTTTGTGCTGGGCTGTTTCCTGGCATTGATTGTAATTCGATGCAAAGAGTGAGTTCATTTCAATTTCACTTTAAACAGGGCTGTTGCACACGAATGAAGTCTGTCTTGTTCACCGAACTGGCAAGCTGAGGATTTATTTGCACAGCGCTTGCAGCCCTGGTTAACGTTATTATTTGTTTACATCGGGAATTTAACTAAACACTCTTGTATTTGCTTTGCATGCAGCACCTTTTTCTCGTACCACGATGCGAATATCAAGCAAACGGCCATCAATGCTTTGGGTGAAGCAACCAAATCCAACGCCTTCACATCGGGCGGCATACTCTATCCGTGTGCCACGGCCAACAGTCGAGATCTGCTCCAGAGCCAGCTGGTAAACGACAGCCGCCTGCTGTGGGCCACCCTAACACCGCATGGCACCAGGCATTTCATAATCGAGAACTCACAGGATGGCCACTACGAGTCCGTTGACTATCGCGGCAAGGCGCACAATCAGGTGTTCCGCGGCTATGCCAAGCAATCCCAATCCTTTGTCAAGGTACGTATGTCAAGCGTTTTCTGATTGGAGTCTGCATTGAATTGGTTTCACTCTGTTTGACTAGTCCTTCGATAATAATGGCTTTGTTGATTACGACTATGAGGATCCCACACCCTTGATGGACTCCTACCATGATGACATGGACTCGGGCTATCAGGAGCCGCATGAAGTAACCGGTTCGCTGCGTCGTTCCCCAATGCGTGCGCTTGCCTCGTCGCCGACCACAAACGATATCTCGAATGTCGCATCGGCCAGCTATAATGCCAGCCTGGCGCCCAGCAGCCAAGCGGCGCCCAATTCGCTGTCCATCAGCCGCAAGACAACGTTGTCGCGCCGCATCAGCGATGCCTCCTCCCATAATGGGACATCCATGTAATTTCCATGGCATCGGCAATAATGTTAATCAAAACGCAATCAAGTTTTTTTTTTTGTAAATTAAGCATGGATTTATTGAGCGAGAAGCGAACGGAGAAAGCTGATTCGATGGAACGCCTGTCGTCCAATAAAACAAAACTAAACTCAAACTCAAACTAAACTCAAACTCAAACTCAAACTCAACTACTCATACAGTATTCATATATAGAGATACAGTTATGTATGCCATCCTAGCTTAAGAACTCAACTTGTTGTATTACTGCTTATATAGTCATTATGCTAACTAATCCAAATCAAATTCAGCTGCTAAACCAAAAATAGATATATTCGGAAGAGAAGAGAAGAGAAGAGAAAAGAGGAGAGAAGATGAGAAAAGCAAACGATTG